TGCTGTTTGCAGGCACAAAGTGCTTCGAATTGTTCCCAAGGATGAAGTCCAGCTGTCTCTTATCAAGGATCTGGAGGAAATGATGGAGTTCGAGGTAATTTATCAGCCACTAAATGACATCACCAGCCACCACTGTTTAAAATAAACTTTAAAAAGAAGAAGAAAGAAGAAAACAAACAAAACCACAAAATTTTAAAAATGCCTTAATAGCTCTATTTTTTATCTTTATAAGTTTTCTAAATTGAGTAGAAACTTCTTTTGTATGCTTTGGTTAATATATTTTTGTTCTTTCAGCTGGATTTTTGGAGGGGGGTGACTACTGTGTCTAATCCCGTGGATGTCAGAGTTCCCTTCCATGTCTTGAAGTCAGTCAAAGATTACCTTGAGACACAGAACATTGACTACTCCACCATGATTGAAGACCTCCAGGTTGCTTATAAGATCAGAATACACCCTGGAGTTTTTTCTGTTAATAGTTTTGCTCAGTAACTCTAATATTATAAAATCTATCATTGTACTGCAGATGATTCTGGATAAGGAGCAGAAGGAGATGGCTGCTGCTCGTGTACCTCAGGCCAAAAACACTGATAGTTTCGACTTCGCTAACTACCACACCCTTGAAGAGGTAAGTACACAAAACTCCTCTGGCTACTGTTATCCAGTGAATAGATTGTAGCCAACTGTGTATTTTCTTTCACTAACCCATGCAAAGCAGTAAGAAAAAGCAAATAAACTCTTTGAACGTTTTTTCAAATGTGCTAAATTTGTAATAAAATATAGCATACAAATATAGCATACTGAGTGTCAGGATCCCTCAGCTGTGACATTTTTCTTTCTGATGCTTCACACACTATTACCAGTATCTCCTTTTGTCTGATTAAAAGCTATCATCTTTGGCTAAGCAGCTTAACCTGATGCTTCATTCTATCACAGTGCAGTGTTTTTGCTAGCGAGTGGCATGACTGACAAGGAAGGGAAAGGAAATGGACTTGCATTTTTATAGCAATTCTCTGGTCTTAGAGACCACTGAGAGTATTTAAGATTACAACAAGCCACATTTAACCATGCATTAATACAATGCCTTATACATTTTAAGAACCATTGTACCTCTCATTCATGGCCAATTTAGAATCATCAATTTACCTAACATATAGAGAGCATATCGAGAATATCTATAGGGAGGCCGTGCAAACACCCCAGTTGGGGTTCAAAGCAAGAACCTTATTGCTGTGCAGCGACAGTACTAACTACTGCACCAATCACTGTGGGAGGAACTTACTTGTACTCTATCTGTTCATGTGAACAATGTCAATTACATTTTTGAAGCACAACAAAGGACATTTATTTCTAAAAGTATGGGGCCATGTACAGTGTGTAATGTGCCAACACTGGAAATTTGGTGCTCAATATTTCAGTGACATTTAAACTGAATGTTAATAGCAATCCTAGCATTTAGCATTTCCCTATTGATCTACATCATGTTGCAATCCCCATGACATTTGAGGCCAGACAGTGGTACAGAATCATGTCGCACTCAACTGATGCTTATGCATTATTGTGTCTTTCATTCAGATCTACAGCTTCCAGGACATGCTGGTGGCTGAGAATCCCAACTTTGTCAGCAAGATAGTGATTGGGCAGAGCTACGAAGGCCGTCCTCTTAATGTGCTCAAGGTAAAAAAAAAACCAAACAAGCAAAACTACAACTGCACAATAGAGCTGAACGAACATTAAAATTAAAAAAAGACAAAACCTCCCATACTCTTCTGGCAAGAGTTTTCACCCTCATGCTGCTCTTCATTTTTTATTTGTAATGAAGTTTGCTACTTTCCTTTCCTGTCTTGTAGTTCAGCACTGGTGGAACCAACCGTCCTGCCATCTGGATCGACACTGGAATCCACTCCAGAGAGTGGGTCACTCAGGCCAGCGGGCTATGGTTTGCTAAGAAGGTGTTTTTTTGTTTTTTTTTTCATTTTCTTTAATAATATTATTAACATTTGTTGCTTTTGTCTGTGTCTCTGCCACTTCTCACAACTTACAGGTTGCACTGAATATTGTGTCCTCTGCTTTCCTGTCATTAGATTGTGACTGATTATGGAACGGATCCCGCCCTCACTGCAATCCTCAGTCAAATGGACATCTTCCTGGAGATTGCCACCAACCCTGATGGATACGCCTTCACCCACAGCAGTGTGAGTCTTTCATACTGTCTACTGTCTGATTTGTTTTAGAGTAATTTGCTGTACAACCAAATGTCTGTTTATAACCTTCATTTTACTTTTAAACATTTTTTTCAGGGCTTATCCCAATTAGCTTAAGCTGACAAGATGATACAGATGAATTAGTAATGGTGTATTTAGTCGGTTTTGCACAATGAATTAAATTTTGAGAGTCATATAGAATAAAATATCTTTCTTCAAGCAAAGACTAACATTACTGTTTCAGAATCGTATGTGGCGTAAGACCAGGAAGCCCAATCCTGGTTCTTCTTGTGTGGGAGTTGATCCCAATAGGAACTGGGATGCTGGTTTTGGAGGTAATATTTTCCCCTGCCATTCACTTGTATTTAAAGCCACTGTATGAGGTAATAATGATCATATGTGTGTGTGTGTGTGTGTGTGTGTGTGTGTGTGTGTGTGTGTGTGTGTGTGTGTGTGTGTATTGCTTATGTCTTTCATATTTTTACATTCTAATGCTTTACCACAGTGTCTGTTTGTCTGGTTTTCTTTATATTAATAAATAGAACCTGGTGCCAGCAGCAGCCCCTGCTCAGAAACCTATCGTGGACCCAGTGCACACTCTGAGTCTGAGGTCAAGTCTATTGTGGACTTCGTGAAGTCTCATGGCAACATCAAGGCCTTCATCTCCATCCATTCCTACTCTCAGATGCTCATGTATCCCTATGGCTACAAAAGCACTCCTGCCAATGACGCGGCAGAACTGGTATAAAAAAGATCTTTCTGATTTAATTTCTTTCTTTAGAATTCTTATTTTTATGATAGTTCTTATATCTTCTTTGGGCTCTGTCAAAAGTCCTTATTAAAAAGTATGATAATATTCTTTCTACAGCACAAGGTGGCTCAAAAGGCCATCAGTGATCTAACCTCCCTGTATGGTACCAAATACACATACGGCAGCATCATTGACACTATCTGTAAGTTTAAGCAACACTGCTTACCAGTACAGACTTCTTTTACATTATTTTGCCTAATAATGACCAGATATATGAATATTTCTCTTCTTTTCCTATAACTTTAATTTCTTCAAATGCAAATATAGTGGTATTAAATAGTGTATACAAAAAAAGTTGTGGCAGGGATCTCAAACTTGCTTTAAATTGTAGCCGTTTGTATAAAAGTAAAACGACACAGGTCTGTACTTCAGACAGTTTTTTGGTGTTTATGAACCAACCACCACTCATGCATAAGTATAAACTGTGCTAAAATTAAATGTACAAATGGTGCAAGGTTTTTTTTAATTTATTTAAACATGATTGCCTTGAAATTAAAAGCTTTTTCAGGATCTCCATTTTTTTCTTTCTTTCTTTTTTTTTACAGTACCGTTTCATTGTTTTAACAATGCCTATTTTAATTTTAGACCAAGCCAGTGGTAACACCATTGACTGGACCTACGAACAGGGCATCAAGTACTCGTACACCTTTGAGCTGAGGGATGAGGGTCGCTATGGCTTCCTCCTTCCTGCATCTCAGATCATCCCCAACGCTCAGGAGACTTGGCTGGCTCTGATGTCCATCATGGATCACACCTCCAAGAACCCATACTGATCTGTGTGCGTGTATAAAAGTGGAAATCCTATATTTGGGAAATGTGCCCCCTTTTTTCCATCCTAAGAGTAATTCAAACCCATCATGATCGAGGGCTGTTCAAACTTTCTCAAAACCACAAGACAAATAAACACAATCCAAAATCAAAGCTGAATTTCTTTGTGATCCTGCTTGCACTGTAGCACATTCAGGCCTCAGGAGTGTCCCTACACTGTGTGCTTCTTTTATTATTTTTCTCAATGTAATGTGACTTTTCAGACGTTGCAAAGCGTAGCTGCAGCATCATTGCCAGCTGCTCAGCATACTGTATCGCCTTGGTCCCAGGGCACTACTGCATAAATAGGAGGCAGAATTAGAAAACATATCCCACCTGTGCCAGCCAGGCTCTCCACAGCCCCCCGAACCTTCCACTCCACCTCTCCCTCTGCAGCTGAGACACCACCACACACCACCATCCAACCCATGTATTTCATGCACTTTATGCCACTCACACAAAACTGCAGCGCCACCGTGATCATTGCAAAAAGGAAGATGAAACATTAGACATATACAGGAACTTTTGTGGTCAGCAGTTTATTTACATTTTGAGCTCCAGACAAAATATTTTCAAATTCTGAACTACGAAAACTGTTGCTTTTTTTATGGCAGGCCCGTGAATGCCGTCTGTTAATATATTCTGACAGATGAAAGAAAGCATTTAAATACATTTATCCCCCTGATAAATTCTATTAAAGCAACAACAATAATAATAAAACATGTAACAAAAATCTATTGATTGAGTTGCAAATTGTTCCAAATGTCAATGCAATGAAGAGGCCTTTAAAAAGAATGCAGATCTTTCTGTTAATTATTTAGTTAATCGTATAGCTAGATAGCTTTCTACTGAAAAAGCTTATCTTGGGGTCAAGCTTGTCAGATATGACAAGATATGTCAGATATTTTCTTTTTAGATGTACATATGAGCATTTTCAGGATGCTGATTAATGATCAATTTATCCACAGATTAATCAATAATGATGGACTTCCACATAATCCATGTAGTACGTCACAAGCTGTCTGTAAAAAAATAAAATGAAAAAAGCAAAAGAGTAATCTTCCCTTTTTTTCAAACTGGTCAGAACTTCACTGTGTCAAAATCCATGATGCAATCGTTCCTGTGAGTCAGCCAAAGATAAACATGTATAACCATGAACTTCAACAAGGCTGTGGCTTGATCACATGACTCTGCACACTTAAAAAGATGGTGTTAAACCCTGAACTGGTCGCACAATGCTGGCCACGATGAGGAAGCTCCTCGCATTCGCTGTGCTCTTTGTGGCTGTTCTTGGAAAAGAAACGTTTAATGGGTAAGTGGGCCAGCCCGAACCTCTCACTACTGTTGGAGTAGGGTGAAAGTCAGCTGTATACATGGGAATGTGTAAAAGCTGTGAGCATTAGAAGTAAAGTAAGGATGTGTTAAAAAATAATGACAGGAGCATTTTTTATTTAAACCACCCTGACTAGTCATTGCATTTAAAACAGCAACATATCTCCTGGGTGCACTTGTGCAATTTTTGCGTTTGAAAACTTTAATAGAGTACTGTCGCTATATTACATGTATATTTGTACATTTAATTATTTAAAGTGTAATGCTTCCCCTTTGATAACTTAATGCAATCAGCTGAACACTGGGAAGTCATGAATTCCCATTCAAAGCAGTATAGTTTTATTTAAAGAGCACCTTTCATACAAAATGGCAGCTTGAAAGAGCCTAGGACATTGGAAAACACTAACAGCAACAACAACAACAAACGACAAACGACAATTTCTCACAGTTCAACTTTTGAAGAAGCAGCACCCACCAAGCTTGAGAAACCATTATTTCACCCTCTCTGTACCAATTTCTTAGCAAATGCTTGAGTTGAGTAAAAAACAGTAAAACAGTGTGGTTCTCTTTTTGCAGGCATCAGGTCCTTCGACTCGTTCCAAAGAGTGATGGCCATCTGTCTCTCATCAAGGACCTGCACAACATGATAGAGCAGGAGGTTATTTATCACCCATGACATCACTGTCAAGACAAATCTAAAAAAAATTTAAATAGAAAGAACAGATTCAGTTATGTCACATGACACGGCATTTTTTTTATGCCGAACCTTTTTTTCTAATAAACTGATTGCAATTCAACTCAGTTTGGGGAATAATGACTGTTTGTTCTTTTAGCTTGACATTTGGAGGGAAGTGAGTGATGTGGGCTTTCCTGTGGATATCAGAGTTCCAGTACATCAATTAAAGATGGTCAAACGTTACCTGAAAGCCTACGATATACAGTTCTCCACCATGATTAAAGACTTGCAGGTAGCGTATGACACCTGGAATCAACCTGGACTGACTCATGCACCTGGATTTGAGATTGAGAGTACCTCTCTGATAGAGGTCATATAACTATGCTACTGTCCTGCAGGTGTTGCTGGATGAGGAGCAAAAAGCAATGGAGTCTGCTTTAGCCCGTGTCCCTGAGCCCAGAAACACTGATAACTTTGACTTTTCTAGCTACCACAACCTCAGTGAGGTCAGCAAACACTTTTCCTTTTCATAAGTAAAAAGTAAAAGGATAATTACAAATATTTTGAGACAGCAACTTTTTAAAAATAATTTTGACCTTAGTCTTGGCACTAAAGGTGATGAGTATTGGTTTTTTTTCTTGGTTATATACAATAACATATGCAATATATTCTTATATGTCTGAGAATAGCAGGTATTGGAGCCCAGTGATTTTTGAAAAGGTGACATTAACTGCTTATTATTGTAGTATGATTTTTTCAGACTTGCAAATAACTTTGTTACTCACTTATGTTTACCATATTTTTCTCAACATATACACTATATGGACAAAAATATTTAGCCATTTCGCTCAATAGTTGAATTCAGGCGTTTTCATTCCAACTGTCACCAGCAGTGTTGGTCAAGTTACTTGAAAAAAGTAATCAGTAACTAATTACTGATTACTTCCCCCAAAAAGTAATCACGTGACTTTACTGATTACTTATTTTCAAAAGTAATTAATTACTTAGTTACTTAGTTACTTTTTAAAAACACGATTTACAACCTGAATAGGTAATAAAGCGATAGATCTTCAGCCCAATTCTACTTTTTCTACATAATCCATCATACAAAATGTAATCAAATGGAAAGGTCCCCTTTTAAAAGTTGTTTTATTAGTTTTAATCTTTTAAAAAATTGTTATTATATGCAACATTCTGACTGGAAGAAATTTGTTTAATATTTAAACCTATTTTCTGCACATTCCAGCACATAAAATAAAATATGTTTTGTGTTTACACTCTTTCAAATAGATGCAAGTAAAACACAGCAGAAAATAAATAACATCAAAGACTCAGCGGTCGTTTTGCTCTATTTTCACCTGTAAAGCAGGACTGCGGTAGGCGGAGGTTTACCCTGGTGCAGGTTTGCCGCAGCGATCAGTGGAAGAATCCGCGAGTTTCTCTGTAAATTTCCCATTATGTCGTTGCGCACTCGGTGCTTGCTCGGAAGTTTAGGGGTTTTTTTGCTGTAAAAAGAAGTTTTCTTCCCACACACAACGGACACAAATGTTTTTGTCACTTTTTATGGAATCAAACTCAAAGTAAGGTCAGTACTTCCACGCTTTAAACGCTGCACGCTCATACTCTCTCCCACAATCGATATGTGATCCATTGTTGATCTGCACACAGCTGTTGTCACCAACGTCGCACTCGCTTACGTCACTGTCATGAGACATTCTCGCAAAAAAAAAAATCACGGTTTTAGTAACGCAGTGTTCCTACGGGAAAGTAACGGTAATCTAATTACCGTTTTTGCAATAGTAATCCCTTACTTTACTTGTTACTTGAAAAAAGTAATCGGATTACAGTAATGCGTTACTGCCCATCTCTGGTCACCAGTGTATTAAATCAAGTGCCTAGCTGTGCAGTCTGCCTTTAAAACATTTGTGAGTTTGTAAAATGTCTTTCCTCCTAGATATTCTCTGTTGTGATAAGTGATAATATTGTAAAGAGGAAGCATTTAGGACCCATAGCAACTCAGCCACAAAGTGAAAGACCACATAAAGTCACAGAGTGGAGTCTCCGAGTGCTGAGGGACCGCGTTGGACCATTGTCAATCAATCTCCGTGCCGTGTCTCCTGTACAGTACAGAATGCGTTCAGCTTGTCAAATTTACATAAATCTTCGATCACTAGCAGTGTGACTCTGAAGTGCTGTACTGTATGTTTGTACGTTTTCTCCCCAACAAACATAACACTGTCGACGAAACATTTTGCACGGCCAAAGGCACCTGCGGTAGCACCCAAAAGACAGAGGAAGATGCTAACCATCGCACAAAAAGTTGGACTTATGAACATGCTAAAGGAAGGACCATAAGGCACACCGGATTATAAGGCCAATTAAGCAAAACCAAACAGTCAGATAAGTCAAACTTTACTCAACTCATTCTTCTTGCGTCCTCTACTTCCGTACCATTGACTCATTAATATTGAATTCTCTCGCAGCTGCTCTATTCCCATGTTCTGGACCTGGAAACAGGGTTTGATCTTTGGTTTCATTCTATAATACTGGACTTATTTTTCCATGAAGGTTTGAACTTTGAGAGTGTTTAAACAGGAGAGAAAAGTGTGAAAATGTTCACGCCTGTCTGAGAAAAGTGTATAAAGTGTCTAGTGACATCTAATAAATGTAAAAAATAAAATAAAATAATAATAATGATAAAGTTGGCTACTTCGCGGGTTTCACCTATCATTCACGGGTCATTTTAGAACGTATCTCCCGTGATAAACAAGGGACCACTGTATAACAATTACCTGGTGCTTATCTATTAAGACTTCACTTGTCTTTCAGATCTACTCCTTTCAGGACATGCTGGTGGCTGAGAACCCCAACTTGGTGAGCAAGATAGTGATTGGTCAGAGCTATGAGGACCGTCCCCTTAATGTGCTCAAGGTAAACCTGCTATTGAAAAAGAACTGAATGAACATCATGGCAATGAATGCATGCTCTTTAAAAAGAACAAACACCCTGTTATTACAACAAGTACCTTTACATTTATTAGCCTTTAGAAATGGATGGATTATTATTGTAGGGCATTTACCTTATAATATAAAGCGCCTTGAGGTTGCTGTCGATGTTTTTTTGGCAGTATATAAATATAAATGGAATTGAACTGGCTTGCTGGGTGCATGGATGGATGGACGGACCTCATGCTTTCCTTTCCCATGTTTTAGTTCAGCACTGGTGGAACCAACCGCCCTGCCATCTGGATTGATACTGGAATCCACTCAAGAGAATGGGTCACCCAGGCCAGCGGACTATGGTTTGCCCAGAAGGTGTTTTGGCAGTCTGGCTATTAGCATCAATACTTTTTTTGTTGTTGTTTGATCTTCTCTGTCTCTTCAAATTCCAATAGCTAACTGATTACACTCAAAATTGTGTCCTTTTGATTTTTATTGTTAGATTGTGACTGATTTTGGACGTGACCCTAAACTCACCGCAGTCCTCAATCAGATGGACATCTTTCTGGAGATTGTGACCAACCCTGATGGCTACGCCTTCACCCACACCAATGTGAGTCTGTCATAGTTAGACTTTTCGCATCATAGTTTCATTTTCAGGGACTGACATGAATTTGTTAAATTTTTACAATATTATCTTCTATAAAAAAAAAAAAAAATTAGAAGAAACAAACAAACAAACAAAAACTAGCTGTTTAAACCCTGTAAAGTCCAGGACATCACAATGATTCTAACCCTAACTCTGTACTATCAGAAGGTGTAATATCCTATATATTTGTACAATCACAGTGAGAGCTTGGTCTGTATTGATAGTAATAAAGCAATAATTAAAAAAAACAAAAAAACAATTCCTGGCCAATATTGGACACCAGCACTGCTGTCCTCTGTCACAGTTTTTGTTCACAATTTATATGGACAGTTTAACTATCTTGGGGTCTTATGATGTGGGGTGAAACGGGAGGTTTACATATGAACTGGTGCAATCTGTTGTGGTGAAGAAGGAGCTGAGCTTAAAAATGAGGCTGCCACTCTATGTTTCCACCGTGGGCAGATTTATCTTAGTGATAGGCTGAGAAGCTCAGTCATTCATGAGGGGCTCAGCTACTGTGTTACCTGTCACATATACAGGATTTTAGAATTTGCAGTTAAACAAATGAACATGTCTTTGGGTGGAAACTGGAGCAGAAACCAGCAAAAGTTGAAAGTTGAGATCATACAAATTCCACACAGCATTGCCCGTAAAGTTCACACAAGGAATGTCCTTGGTGCACTCTAAAAACTAAAACTGACATTTAGTTAAAATTTTTGAGGCAACACATTTGCACTTAAAAATATTGAGTAGTTTCGAAACCAGTCAAATCTGTTCAATATACTTGATCAATTGAATAACTAAAGCTTAAACATATTAAGTTGAAATGAATAATTGTAGTTGTTACACAAACATGAAAAAATTGAGTAAATAACACTGACATGCTTGGTCAATGTAACTGAAATAGAGATGGTCAGTTAATCCGAAATTTTGTTCCATTTACTTAATATTGTAAACTGAACGTAATTAAAATTGTACTTAATATTAAATATGGTAAATGGCCTGTATTTGTATAGCGCTTTACTTAGTCCCTATGGACCCCAAAGCACTTTACACTACATTCAGTCATCCTGAATGTGTGAATCATTCAGTCATTCACACTGAATGTGTGTGTGAATCATTCAGTCATTCACACACACATTCAAGCTACATTGCAGCTACAGCTGCCCTGGGCACACTGACAGAGGCGAGGCTGCAGGGCAGTGGCGCCACCAGGCCCTCTGACCACCACCAGTAGGCAACCAGTAGGCGACCGAGACTGTCGGTGCCGGGGCTTGAACCGGCAACCTTCCTATTACAAGATGAACTGCCAACCTTTGAGCCACGATCTCTTGACGACTCTTGATCACCCCCTAACTTTCAAATATGAATGTTATTGTATTTCACTGGTAGTCTAAGTCTAAAAAAACCAAACAACCTAATATGTAGTTGTGTTTTTCATAATACATGTATGAAAAATGACCACATGTTAAACATTTTTCCAAATGAAAATGTAATTTTCATAAAGATGGCAATAACTCGAAATAAACAAGCACTAAAAAGACAACAGCCTTTTCCCTTTTAGCTCAAAACCTTACATACTTGAAGGATAAATGGCAAACCAGGAGAGCAAACACAAAAGCTCAGAGTATTTAAAAAACAAAATGAACAAAACAATGATAAAAGGCTCATGGTACTCAATTACTCTACGATATCGTGTTTTACTTACACTTTTCAGTTGTAGTTGCTGACAATAAATAATATTGATTTGAATAATTAATGATTTTGGTACAAGATACTGATGAGTATAGATACCTATTTCTCACATATTTTGATTCAATTTTAAACAAAAATATTAAGTACATGCAAAGAAGGTATTCTGTGAACCACATGCTGAATTTTTGTCTGAGATAAATGTAAATGAATACCTTAATTTAACACAAACA